AGCGGGGGGTGGGCTCGCAGTGCAGTCCGGTACCGGGGGGGAAGGAAGGAGCAGAGCCTGCTCAGGAGCTGCAGCGGAGCTGGAGGGAGGAAGATGAGGAGGAAGGCAGGGAGGGGAGTTGCCCCTTATTTATAGCAGCTCCCCCCCAGCTGCTCTTAGTGCCCCCAGCGCAGGTGTCCGCGATGCTGCGGCTCCCGGCTCGATAAATGAGAGAACCAGAGCTGGTTGGTTTTTGGGGGGTGGGTGCTGCTGCTGGGGGGAGTGAAGCAAGGTGGGGTGAAAATGGAGAGGTGGGGGTAGGAGGGGGAGGCTACTCGGGTTTTCTCTTGCAGAGGTCTGTGTGTTTCTGAGGAGGGCCTGGTGCACTTTTAAAAGCCCAGCTTGCGTCTAGAGCCTCAGGTTGTGCCAGGGGAGGTTTAGGTTGGATATTAGGGAAAATTTCTTTACTGAAAGAGTGGTCAGGCATGGGAACAGGCTGCCCTGGGAAGTAGTAGAGTCCCCATCCCTGGAGGTGTTCAAAACAACGTGTAGATGTGGCACTGCAGGACATGGTTTAGCAGGCATGGTGGTGTTGGGTGACAGTTGGACATGATGATCTTAGAGGTTTTTTCTAACCTGAATGATTCTGTGATTCTAGAGCTGCCTCCAGCTGTGAGCTGGGCTCTCTGCTGCTGGCATGGCCAGGCAGACCTGTGGTCCCCCACAGCGCTGCTGGGGTTGGAGCGTTTGCTAGGAGAGCAGCTGATGGGAATAGGCAAAAAACCCTTAGTTATAACTTCTGAAGTTATTTCAGACATAAACATGAGCTCTGTGCACATGCTTTAGGGGCTCTAAACTTGCATTAGGCATTTGGAGGGCAGCTCTAAAAGGGATAGGATGCGTTTTTACCCCAAGGAGAGGGTCTCTGATGCTTTGTTGGAGAAAAGCTCAAGCCCTGGGTGCCCAGCACAGCTGCCCCTGTAGCCTTGCTGTTGCTCTAGAGGTGCTGGAGCTGAACCTGTAATTTCACCATGGAGCTTGCCAGCTCTCCGCAAGGTCCTGGCTTAGAAGGTGGCTTGGAGCCATGAGGTAAGGTGGGATCCCAGGACTGGGTTTTGCAAGATTCATCAGCTGGTGCTTGCAGTTGGGGTTGCAAGGTGGAAGATGGAGGTGCGGGGGGCAGGGGTGTCTCCGCTGCCCCGAAAGGCGCTTGGTGCCGGGGAGGCCTGGGGGCTGGCCCCGTCTCTGGATGCCTGGGCCTTGCATTTCCCCAGGGAAAGCTCTTGGTGTTTTGCTTTCTCAGCTGATGCCTCAAGAGGGTCCCCCACACTCGCTGCCTGCACAGC